CTCGGACGAGGGCGCGCTCTGGGCGGCGACGGCGGCGGCGCGGTCGGCGAGCCCGCTCGTCTTGGCCGCCGCGTAGGCGAGCGCGGGCAGCCCGACGTCCTGGAGAACGGCGGAGCGCGCCTCGGCGTTGCCGAGGTAGAGCGAGTTGTGGAAGCGGCTGAGGTGGTCGCCGCGCTTTTCGGCGATGACGGCCATCTTGGCCAGCTTGTCGACGTTGCCGGTGATGAGGTAGAGGAAGCTCAGCTTCTCAAAGTTCTTCGTGCGCTGGTAGGCGCGCTCGACGATGCGGTGGTTGCCCTGGCGGAGCGCCGCGGCGCCGAGGCGCTCCCACACCTCGGCGGCGTTGATGGCCTCGGCCGTCTCGAGGGCGACGTCGAGGTTGCCGCACTCGATGGCGAGGTCGAACCGGGTGCTCTTGTCCTGGACAAAGTGGAGCGCGATCTCGGGGTAGCCCTTCTTCTGGAGGAAAGCGATGATGGCCTGGCCGACGAGGTTGCTGTTCTTGATGATGGACAGCACCTCGTCGAACTTGCCCTGGACGAGGGCCAGCTTGAAGCGGTACTCGGTCGGGTCGATGGCGATGTTCTGGGGCCGGGCCGAGCGGTCGAGGCACGACACCGTCTTGCCCTTGACGCGCGTCAGGTAGACGGGCTGCTCGAGCGTCTTGATGATGCCGTTGTCGCCCTGGGGCAGCGCGTACTTGATGTGGTTGAGGGTGCTGTAGAGGAGGACGCCGCTCTCGTCCCAGGCGGCGCTCTTGATGCGGATCGTCTCGTGGATCAGGTTGCTCGAGGTGAGCGTCTTGTTGGCCAGCGTGATGGTGTGCTTGCTGAGCAGCGCCACCATGCCGCCGTCGAGGCTCCACACGACGTACTTGACCGTCGGACTCTGCAGCTCGGCCAGCACCTTTTGCTGCTGGATGTCGTAGAGGATGACGCCGGTGGCCGTCGAGAGGATGAGGCTGGCGGTGCCGCCAAAGAAGATCTCGTTGGTCGGCTGCGGCGGCGTGATGGTCTTGGTGACGGCGTTGTTGAGGTCGCGGATCTCGATCGTCTGGGCCGCCTTGTCGAGCACGGCGAACCGGTTGCGCGCCACAAAGATGACGCTCGAGCCCTGGCCACGCTTGCCGACGCTCGACGAGTCGGCCAGGTCGCCGCCGGCCGCGGCCGGGTCGCGCGGCAGCGGCGCCACGTCAAAGACGCCCTGCTCGCCGCTGGTCGACGTGACGATGACGGAGCGCTCGGCCGGGTTGTAGCTCAGCGTCCGCGGCTGGACGTACTGGTTGCCCAGGCGCTTGACCGAGAGCAGCGGGACGTCGGCGCCCGTGGCGTAGTCGAGCGAGCGGACCTGCTTGTCGCGGACGTAGAAGAGGTTGTTCTGGTGCAGCGCAAAGGCGGGCCTCTCGCGCTCCAGCTTGAAGACGATCAGGCCGTTGTCGTGGCCCGCGGCGAAGAGGTTGAGCGTCGGGTGGGCGGTGAGGACCCAGAAGCGGTCCGACTCGCGGCGGAACGTCTGGACGGCGGTGCGCTTGCCCATGTCCCACACGCGGATCGTCTTGTCCTCGGCATCGGAGATGATGAGCTCGTGGCGCGGGTGGAAGAGGGCGCACGAGACGTTGTTGAAGTGGCCGCGGCACGTGTCGACCTCCCAGGCCTTGGTGTCGGACATGCGCCACAGCTTGATCTGGCGGTCGTCGCCGGCCGAGACGATGAGGGGCAGCGTCGGGTGGAACGAGGCCCAGTTGACGCCGCGGTCGTGGCCCTCGAGGACGTACTTGACGACGACGTCGGTGTTGCCAAAGAGGTCGGCCTGGCCGCTGTTGGCGCGGGCGATCTGCTCCTCGATGCTCATCGGCTGCGCCGACGTGTTCTTCTTGCGGAGGCCGCTGATGTCCCACACGCGCACCGTCTGGTCCATGGAGGCCGACACGATGAGGTCCTCCTTTGGGTGGAACTGGGCGCACATGATGTAGTGGTTGTGGCCGGTGAGGATGGCGATGCAGGTGCGGCTCTGCCAGTTCCAGATGCGGATGGTCTGGTCGTCGGAGGCCGAGAGGATCCAGGGGTGCTCGTGGTGGAAAAAGACGGTGCGGACATAGTCGAGGTGGCCGTTGAGGGTGAAGAGGCACTTGCGGGTCTTGTGGTTCCACACTTTAATCTTGTAGTCGTCGCCTCCGCTGACGAGGAGGGGCTGACTGGGGTGGAAGCAGATGCCGCGGACGGGCCCGTCGTGCTCCTCGAGGCGGTCGTAGATGGTGCCCGTCTGGTAGTTCCACAGCTGGATGGAGCCGTTGTGGAGCGACGAGGCGAGCAGGGGCAGCTTGGGGTGGAAGGCGATGCCCTTGACCCGGTTCGACTTGCTCTCAAACTGTGCACCGGCGGAGGATGGGTGCAAGATCAGGGCCAGATGGCTGGTCAGCGGGGTGGCGGCAGAGCGCAGCCGAAGATGGCGCAGCCGCGTCTCGGAGCAGCGGCGATGCATACCTTTGTTAGCATCTGCATGGCGGGCTAATGTTGGGGCGGCGGAGGTCGCAGAGGCAAAGCCCACTGCAGCGCCGGGTGGGGGGAAAAGGGTGATGATCGAGATACGGCAGGCCAGACGAAGCGGCAGATGGTCAAGCGGCGCCAAGGTGCAGTAGTGAGCGTCCAGCGCGTGAAGAGGCCAGGGCGAAGAGGTGGAGATGGACCGCCCAAGCTTCCGGGTGTCGAGCGGTGGGCTGGAGGGTCGTGCCTTCCGGAGCTGCTCCAGCAGAAGGCGCCTCAGAGGTCGTAGACGGTGTTGGTGACCGGTGCGCTGTAGTGGTCTAGGCCAATGACCAAAGGGAGGAGTCGGGTGAGGAGGGCAGGGGTGGTGCGCGAAGATGGAGGGGAGAAGGTCGTGGGCGGTGGTGGTCGGTGATGGTGTCGAGCTGCCTGCCTGTCCGGGTTGGCTGCCTGTCTGCTGGCTTGTGCTGGCGGTGCTGGCGGGGGCAGGCCGAGGGAAGCTGGCGGGCCAAGGATCTTCGTTCACTCGCTCGCTCATGGGGGGTCGTGTTGCGCCCGGGCCAGGCCAGGCCTGGCCAGCCCAAGCCCACAGCGCTGCGCTGGCCAGCAAGCCCTCGCTGGCGGCGCCGCCAAGAAGGCCGGGGGCATTCGATCACGCGCTGTTCAGACAAGCCCTGGAGCTCACCCGGGCGAGAAATAAAAATTGAGACCGAACCTCGGGCTTCGGATGTAGGCCAGTCGAGCGCCCGGCGGCGGCGGGGCGGGTTGGGGCTGTGCCCAGCGGAAGTCGACAGGCAGGCAGGTCAGCGGGCACGCGGGCAGGACGGCGGGACAGACGTACGGGCCCGCGCCATCCGCAGGCAGCCCGAACCCGCCGGTCGGCCCACTTCCGCCGTTGTAGTGCGACTACAAGCGTGGATTCCAGGGCCGGCCCCGAGTGTATTGCGGGCCGAGCGCTGCGAATACAAACGCAGCCTGCCTCATGCGCTGCCGGCCTGCCACGCCGACCTGCTTGCCCCGCACCCTACCAGCCCTAGCCTGCCTGACTTGGGTGAGATGGGCAGCCAGGCAAGGGTAGGCCAGGGCAGGTCAACCGTCGGTCTGCGCGCGGTTGGCAGGGTGCATGGAATTTGAGCTCGCCCCTGGCCCTGGATCTTGCCTCGCCTCGACGGGGAACCCCCCCCCCCTC